CTACAAATTATGTGGTAATGGAGACAGGTTCCACACATTACCATGTTTTTGAGCAACTCAAATTATCTCACAAGTACATCTGTAATAATTTGGTTCCATGTCTTTTAAAAGTGCCACTTCATCTACACTTAGTTTCACTACTTCTTCGTATGTGTACAAGAGTTAAAAGATAAAACATGCTTATGGAAATGTGCAAGTTTGCTCATTGTGAGAAGTACAAGAAACCTTAGAAAACTGTATAAAATTATCCAATGTAATTTGCTTTCAAAACATCAGAATGGAATTCTTCATGTAAAAGGTTGTGTGATGAGATTAATGCTGCTTCCTGTGAAGCACTGCAGGAATGGTATCTCTTCTGACAGTAAGGTACTTCTGGTTTCACTATTAGGGGTATTTATACATCCATGGTAAACACAGAATAAGCCAGTTCAGTGAAGCTTAAAACGGTTGATTTGCATTATAGCTGAAAGTCAGAGACCATGTGAACAGCAGTGCCCTGAGACTATAGTACTAATCTGAATAATATTTCAAAACTTTATTTTCCTAGGTATCATTCATGAGATTTGTACAGAAAGCATTACTAAGATAAATCTTGAAGATAACATTATTCTTGCTGCCTCTGATGTATGCAGGAGTTGATAACAAGCTGATTGCCTTCTGACAGATGATTTACACACAGCAGATGTTTTAATTTGATTATATCTGTGAGATAAGCATAATGCTGTGTTAAGTCCAAACACTTTTTATGAGTCTTTCAAAATATTTTGCAATGAATGTAACCTTTTGTAAATGCCCTTGCTTGAGGCTGTGTGTTCTCATAACGCTGCAAATTATTAGTAACAAGTTGAAACCAGTGATTATGCAAAAGAAGAAAACTGTTATAATTCTGTGTTCTATGATAACCTAAATTAAGAGGGAAATATGATGCAAGCAGTGATACAGGGCACCATAGTTTAACACTACTCCAAAGAGGACTATGTGTTCTTCAGTGAATTATGCACAAGACAGGCAGAACTTTTACCAAGCACACTGAAGGGCCAGTACTCCGTGCCAAGCACCCTCAATTTGAAAATTATCAGGCAAATGTCAGCTTTGTGAATAGAACACTGTGGGGGACAGAAGTTTTGGGTTGAAAATGATACAGGATTACAAAATTTGACTTTGATTTGAACTGAAATACCAGAATTTCCCTGAAAATAAACATCTTCCTTAACTGCAGTGAAATCAAAGTGTTGTACATTGCTCCCATGTTTTGTTTTTATATGTAACAAGGAGACAACGAAAAATTTTCAAAACTAAATGAACTGCTACAGAACAAAATCTGATCTGTATCATACCAAATACATCAAAATGGGACATGTCAACTTTTTCAAAGCAGATTTCTTATTTTTCTTTTGAAAGTAAACAATGACAAAACTTATTCAGTTTTCAATGTTTTTATTTCAGTCAAACTACTTATTCCAGCTACATCATTAGTAGTTTTCTCAAGGCAGTATCGGCATACTATGTAAGAAATTGCTGTATTTCATTCACCACAAAAATCACAGGCAGTAACTCCAACAATTGCTCGTGAGTAAACCACCCTGTAGCTTACATTTTATGATGTATACAATTCAAAGAATGTTTCCTTTAGGATTCATGTAATCTAACATCAGATACCTAAAAAGTAGATGTCTGAGCTAACTATACTCTCTGTCGTCAGCTCATGTGTCCAGAGGTTTTTAAAATACCTAGACTCTTTTCCATTCTCTGGTGACTGAGGGAATGGAGGTGACCTAATAGCTTGCTGCCACTGTAACGGCAGTTCTATTCATCCAGCCTTCATCCTTTGGTCCTTGAACCTGACCAGAGACTAAACCACTACAGTCAAATGAAACTGCTCCTTTAGATGCAGGAAAGGCGATAGGTTGTTGCAGTCATATCCTGGAATTTCACTCTAAGGCTAATTCGTAGACAGCTAAAGTAAGGTGAAATGTCTTCACCCTAAGCCACATATGTCAGCTTTATATAGGCACAAACATTCCATTCTGTTAGTGCAGCTGTATAGGCCTTGTTTAATTTTGAGTCAGTGGGCCTGGGAAGTAGGTTGTTGTGGAATTCTTAAACGAAGCAGCAGTGGAGCTAATGAACTAATCAAAATAATGGTTTTACTTCAGCAATTCTTGGCTGTGGGTAGAATGATTTTGGGCTAAAAGTGTATGTTCAGTACAGTGAAACTATAGACTTCAGTTAACATTGCAAGTTTTGTAGAAGCTTGAAAGTGTTCTTCATATGAGAATAACGCTGTAGTTCACATGGGATTTTGACAGAAATGATACTGCAAGATGAGAAATGGTTGGAATAATAATTTGGAATCCATAGTTTTTATGGACTGTTTTAAAAAAGCTGTAACTAAAACTGCAGCAAGAAGCACTTAGCTTGTCTTCACCTGGAGGCCCTGAGGTACAAGACGTGCTAGATTGTTTGTATAATGGGTATCTCTTCCTGGGGGTCAGAAAGAAAATACAATAGTCATGCTTCAATATTTTGCCTTTCTAAGGAGCAAACTGAAATTAGATGACCCTTCCTTACCCTGTAAGGCTGGAGTTAATTATTTGCAGCTTTAATCTGTGACTATTTGAAGCCAGCTCTTTCTTAGCTCTGGCTGAGGTTAAATATTCACAGTTTCAATCTAGAAGTCAGAAACTGCCATCTGCAAATAGGGATCTGGGAACTATGAACAAGGAAATGTAAAGAAATGACCAGCTTGGTCTTGTTCTATATATTTTGGTTGTCCAGGAAATCCTGATTAAGCTGAATTTTGGCCTCTAACAGGGAAGCTTGTAATACTCAAAAAGGCAGGACATGAGCTTTTGTTAGTAAGCCTGTCTGGGACATATCTGTGAACTATTTTGGGTTTACTTCAACTTCCACCTTGACCTTGGTCATACTAAATACTACAAATCATATGGATATCCAGGTAAGATATATTCCTTCCATGCAAAAACTTTCTAATAGCACCTACCACCCTCAAGGGCTTTCTGAACATCCCAAGTACAGCTGTAGCACAATCCAGCATGATGTCTTTGGAAATAAAACCAATACTTATATGGAGATATCAGACTTCTGAAATCCACCTGTTATAGACTCCTAACTTACTGTGTAATAGGCACCATATACCCTCATGTGAGAGTGTGATGCCAGGCTGCAGTCAGGGGTGTGAGACTACTGGGGACCCAAGTACAGCCCTCCCCAAGGCCTCCATATCCTGCAAGCCCCTCTCCTATCGCCAGACCCTAACTGAGAGACTGGTCAAAAAAATACCTATGTGGGAAAGCAGCCATGGCATTCATGCAAGGGAGAGAGATGCAAGTGAGGCAGAGGCCAGCTTAGCAAGTCATGCTTGGATCATGACAATTTTTATTAGTAACATTAAATCTGTATTTAATGGCTTTTAAGCTTCTTTTCATATTAGAAGTCAGTCACCAAAAACTAAAAGGAGAGGTCAGTATACACAGACAACTTTACAAGCAAACAGCAACTCTTGCTACCTGCAGCTTGACAGCTACAAGGAGGGAGAAGAGCATACAGCATACAGTATATACTGATGGAGGCTGAGAAATGCTTTCACTTAAGTGGATTACTGAAAACACAGCCAGCCTCTAGCACAGAGCTGGTGCACAGGAACTGATAAGAACACTCCGGTCTGTGCTCAAAGGGGAGTCCAACATTTTTCTTAACTCTGGAAGGTGGCAACTGTGTTTAAGCAAATCTTGACTGTATTTAAAGGGGGTGGAGAGAGGAAAACGCTCTTGGAGAGGTTTATGAGAATTTGCACCATAAACTGGGACTGCACTGTGAAAATAAGCATTTAGGGAGTTTTTAAACCTAAATTTACATAACATCACAATTAGGGGTTTTTTAACATCTGTTATAGGCCAATCAAATGCATTATGCAAACATTTGCAAACTCATACAGAGTTGATCTGGGACATTCAGAGCATGATTACATATATTCCCCCCGAGGACTTCTTAGCCTGTGTTCTGAAATAGCCACTTTGGTATCTGTAACTCATGCTGCAACCTACACAAAAGCAAATCATCATAATTTTAAGACACCCTCAAATTAACCCCAGGTGCATCAGTTTGCCTTTCAATCAATGCCCAGACACTTAGAGAGGAAGGTTCTGAATCTCAAGACAACTGCTGGCTTTTCAATGGCTAGATTTATAGTGGCAGAAAGCTCAGGCCTTATTCAGATTGAGAGTCTAGAGATAGTGTCTGGGCCATGCAAAACTGGCATCGCCAGTCTGGTCCTGTTCCCTGAATCCTATGTGCAATTCCTCCCTTCTGGAGAAGGTAAAATCTCTTGTACATCTGCTCCAGAGAGGGCTGGAGACATAATCTTGTCACATATGCAACACTGGGTCCCAAGTGCTGCATATCCAGCCCATCTGGGAGCAAAGTGCAAAAAAAGGAGGTAGGTGACAAGTTGTCTCAGTCAGCTTCAACATGTGCAAGTTGAGTGCCCAGTTAGTCTGTGTGAATGTTTCCTGTTTCAGCCTCCCCTGGCTTTAGTTCATCTGGGGCTTACGTCCATCTTTCGATACTACGTCTGCAGAGGGGGAAACAGGCTGCAGCAGCATAGGTAAGGTCGGGAATACGGGTGCAAGGAAGACCCTCCATGCCCCATATGACAAGACTGGGCCCTTGTCAACTGGTGAGCAGGAGTTAGCGTTCTAGCTGACATTTTTCCGTGGACCCTGAGCCCCCTCCCAAGCGACGGAGCCACTCCAGGGCCCGGCAGCGCATGCTGCGGCTGTGCCAGGTCACCGTCTCAGGGCGGAGGGAGGGAGGGACGAAGGGAGGGAGGGAGAGAGGCAGGAGCAGAGCTGCGGGCTGCACGTCGAGGCTGGTCCTGGCAGCGCTTGCAGGGGGAGAGCCGGACCTGAGAGGGGCTGGCCTCTGGCAGATGATTGACACCAAACTGGGTGAGGTTTCATGTTAAATAAAAAAAAGGAAAGAAAGAAAGAAAAAGGGCCAGCGCAGGGGAGGGGGTGGCTGTGGGAAGGGGGAGAAGGAACTACAGTAAGAGTAAAAAAGTCCTGCCCAGCTGTTTGCGAAGTTTAAGATTTCCTGTTTCCCCTGCAGCGCCGAAGTGCTGTGTTCAGTGAGTCACCCGCGGTCCCGAGCCGCGGAGCCGCGCAGCCCGCTCCCAGCCGTGCCGCGGCCTCCCGCTGCCTGCCCGGCCCTGCGCTCCCCTCCCGTGTCGATCCGGCTCCGTGATGACTCCGTGTCTGCCGAGGAGCCTGCGGCGGCTGCTTCTGCGCCTTTCCCTCTGGGTCCTCATGGGCTGCTCGGTCCCCGCTCTCCTTCGGGGTAAGTGCGCGCCGGGCCGGCGCTCCGTCTTGACAGTTGCTGGGGCCGGAGGCAGGAGCGGGGCCGGAGGCAGGCGTCCGCAGCGGAGCAGTGGGGAGACGCGGTTGCTAAGAAAGTTTTGAGGCTGGAAACGTTTCGGGAGGGTTGAGCGTGTTTGTTTATAACCCCGTTCGAAAAGTAAGCGGGGAAGAAAGACTGGGAACCCGAGGGTCCAACCGTGGAGGGAAGAGCGGAGAGAACACGGAGGATTCGACAGGAAATGCAGCAGAGTCTGGTCCGGCCGGAGGAGCCCAGAGAGGGAGGCTCAGAAGCTGCCTGTTGCCCCCGAGGTAGTGGCTGCCCGGCCCTGCAGCTAAGTCTCCTCACCTGGTGCCGGCCGCACCATGTGCCGGGGGGGCGGCCGACCCTGGGGAACCGGCCGGCCTCGGCCCGTGCTTCCTGCCCGCTCCGGTGCGTGCTTCGGGTGCAGGATCCAGCCCCCGGCACAGCTTTTGCGATGCCCTCTGGGATGGGCACCAGCTCTGCCTGTACGCCCACAGGGAGCAGGGCGAGAAGGTGCCTCGGGTAGCACCCGAGACACCATGGCTTGAGCCGAGGCCGCAGGGTTGGCTGCTGTGCGGATCAGCAGTTGCTCACCAAAAAGTTGTTTTACATGGGAGTTTCTGCCTACAGTGGAATTAAGCCGTGATTGTGAGCAGCTGGACTGAAAGTAGCATTCATTCGTGTAGCACTTGGTGTTCATGTTGCTTGATTCACCTTTAATGACACTTCACATCACTTATTCTATTTTTACCAAGACTTCTTTAAATATGTTTTTGAGGCTGTCTTGTGGTATTCTTCATAGGATAATCTGTAAGGTACCAAGAGTTTAAAGTGCTGCTGCAAAAATAAGGTTCCTGCCCTGAGGAGCTTTCCAATCTCCATCCTACCAGTACTAACCCACATGTGTGAACTAACATCTGTAACTGCGATGTTAGGCCCTAAGTCATGTTGCAGCACAACTGGTGAACCTAAAAAGAGAACATCAGATTGCAGCAAAACTACATCTGCAATAATTTTGAAGAATTAAGGAGATTTTTGAGATGTCTTGTTACATCACATGCCTAGTTTTCATCTTCAGGTAAGATATGTAGACACCTGAGCTTCTACAAACTTTGCTCTGTGCCCTCTGATTCTTCCTTGTTCGTGGTCAATAATGATCTCAAAATTGCTGCTGGAACATAACAACATAAAATGGATAGCTTGTGTTGCGCTACTGCCAATAGGTCTGTGCAGTATGAATAACTTCATGTTTCATTCATGATCCTGTCGAAGTCAACAGATTTTACATACCTGCAAAGTTGCTCATGGAAGCATAGGACAGATAAAAAAGAACAGTTTGAGAATAAGACACCATGGTCTAAAAATAGTATTATATTAAATCTGAGGTGTGCAGCTTCTTCTTTATTTTGATATCTATTTGCATTATTTCCTATTAATATACTCAAGTAGTGATGGCTTTTACTCTGATCCTAGTCTAATTTTTTTGCAGATTCCCATCACAAAAAGCTTTAAATGAAAAAGGTCCATTTTTGTTACCTGGTGGTATTATTATGCTCTTTTTTCACTCAACTAGTATAGACAGTCTCAAACTGCAGGTAGATTTTAAAAATGAACATAGTTTCAGAGTTTGTTCTTCATTCTTGTTATAGGTCCAGTGAGGAAAAGCTACATGAATTGCTTACAATTCAGCATTTTTCATGCTGATTTACACCCCAGGATAAAACTGGGTAGACCTGTTGTCAGATAATCTATAGCTCCTAAAGTTGTTTTAATAACCCTGGTAGGACTCTGTGGCATATTATAACAAGAAGAGTTTGTCAGAAAGTTCTGTAGGGGCAGAAAGTGTGAGGTTTGGGTATTGGTTGTTACATGGCTTTGAAATGAAAACTAGAGCTACCAAATATATTGGGGAAAACAAGAGATACTTTGTAACAATCAACAGCTCATCAGTTCAATGAGAAGGAAGCAGTAGAGATAGCAGTCTCAATTCCCTACTAAACAGCAGGCTTTTGTTGATGAAGAGGTTAATAAAAGCCTAGCTAAAATTTCATTATAACATTCTTCACAGCAAAATATTAGACATAGCACATTCCCATATAGATTCTGGACAAACACACAAAGTCATGAGCAGGTCCAATAGGAACGATCTACTTTGAAAAATGTGTTTTCATATCCTGTGCTACACACAAGTAATTAATTTTTTTTTTCCATGGAGTAAAGGGACAAGGTTTGATTTTTCTGGAATGATTATGAATGCTGTATTGCATGTTTAATCAATCAATGGCATGCAAACTAGCAGTTGTTCACATAAGAAATTGTCGCTGTTGTGTCCAAGGGAGTATGTGGGTTATTAAAACCAGAAGTTTGTTCCTTGGAATGGTCTGTGTAATAATAGTTCTTTTCTGAACACCAGGAACTTAATTTCTCCATTCCGCCAAACGCTATTTGCATTATTGTCTCATTTTTTAAAAGCCGCATCTTAGTTAATTTTATAGTAACAAAATAAAAATTTAGAGTTTCAGATATTTGCAGGAGGGACGTATGGGAACAAACATCTTCATAACATGGTGAAACATGTTTGTAACAGAATCGAATAAAAAATTCCTGCCACCATCAAAACTGGCAAATTTCCAATTATTTCAGGAGGGAAGTAGGAATAGAACAGAGATATTACTGCATTTCTTCTATTTATGGGGTATCCTTGAATTCCAAGCCTTTTATATCTGAAACTTTGAAAATCATTTTTATTTAATTGCCATTTTGAGCTCCTTGGCATTAACATTCAGCTGGTGAATTCCATATAGGAATGGTTTCTATTAAAAAATGATAAGCCAGATCTTAAGCTGATGCAAATGAATATATTTCCATTAGCATCAGTAAAGTTACACAGAGTTAAAGTTACACAGAGTTATAGCATATAAATTTCCTGAAACAGTTTCAAAAGTAATTTCAAAAAAAGGGCAATAGAATAATTCAGATTTTTTCATATTAATAATATTTTTTCACTTATATTTTATAAACACTATCATATGACCTACATTTAGCCAAAAAGCATTGCTTTAAAATTAAATACTTCTTTCTGGGATGACAGTTGCAAAGACGTAGTGTGTTATAATGGTAGCCGATAAAAGTTGTCATTGTGACAAGGTTACTTCTGAACTTAGGAGAAAAGATGGTGTCAGGCTCTTAGCAGAAGGAAAATTCTTCATGGTTTGGTTTTGAGGGATGGGGGTTTGTCTTTTGAAGGGATCAAAAAGAGGGTGATATCACTGTAGCACCAGTTGTTGGAGTTTCCTATGGTTATATTTCCTTTGCAGGATATTTTTAAGCTCACATTTTTGCATTTATGGCATAGGAACTTTTTTGTCTCAGTAAGGTATGTCTGTGGTACAGCATTTTGCTAGCATTCACTTTGTATCGCTGTAACTCCTCTAACCTCAGAAGACCTGTGCCTCACTTTATGGTACAGTAAAAATGAGCAAAACCAACTACTTGGGACCGTTTGTTACTTTCTTGGGTACTGCATAACAGGGTGGATTTGTATCAGCTAGGTATGAAATATTATCACTAGTGCTTGATCTGAAAGTGATCCATGCAGCCTCACCACTGGCTGGCACAACTACAATTGAGTGTTGATGGCACAGTGAAAGTCAGGGCTCTCGGCCATCTTTGTGGCCCCGTGGTCCTGGGATTAGTAGGAAAGAGGTGAGTTGTTACAGTTCTGGTCTGCTTGTGGTGAGCAGAGGAACAGAAAGATGTCCTGAGGCATGTGGGAGACCAGTGGTGCAGTGTTTCCTTCACCATTTAGGGGCCCTTTGACTCAGGGGAAATTACCAGGTAGGCACATCCTAGGGACATCAGATAATTTGTATTGCCAATGCATTGCAAACTTGTTAAAATGGACTAAGGTATCAACCAGTCTGTGCAGATGTTGGAGAGTTACAAGAGATTTCCAGCATGGAGTAGTGAGAGCCAGTCCTGTTATGAAATAGAAAGTTGGCTGAGTCCTTACCTCCTGAAGAGATTTAGCAGTGAGATTTTGGTTTACTTAATAGGTCTTTAGCCTTAAATTTTGTAGTGGTTAGAGGGGATTTTGTTTCTTCTTTTTTTTTTTTCTTTTTCCCCCCCATAGGATATTGGGAACTGTTTTTTAAACTCTTGTTTACAAGGTTACAACAAAATACTCATGCTTTTTCATGAACTCTTATTTTGGAAGGTTAAAATAGACCAAAATAAGTCAGAATGAATATGCCTTGGTTTTGACAGACTACTTATAAGTCCTTTTGAAGTCCTTTGAGGATGGAGCCAGGCTCTTCTCAGTGGCAAACAATGAAAGGACAAGGGGTAATGGGTACAAATTGGAGCACAAGAGGTTCCACTTAAACCTGAGAAGAAACTTCTTCTCAGTGAGGGTGACGGAACACTGGAACAGGCTGCCCAGGGAGGTTGTGGAATCTCCTTCTTTGGAGACATTCAAAACCCGCCTGGACATGTTCCTGTGTAACCTTATCTAGGTGTTCCTGCTCCGGCAGGGGGATTGGACTAGATGATCTTTTGAGGTCCCTTCCAATCTCTAACATACTGTGATACTGTGAACTTCACTGGCAGGTGGAAGTGGTAAGAGTTGTATTAAGAAACAGTGGAGAAACCTCGTAGTACAGGAGACAGATTGCTTTTACAGCAAAGAGTGAGCTTACATACTGGGGCAGGGCATTGTAATTGTGGCAAATGCCAGTGATCTGTATGCCACTGTAAGCAATAGTTAATAATAAATATTTGCAATATTGGGTTCTCAGTGACCCATCTGCCACACTTATTTTTCATGGCACAACTTCATTCTGGCATAAAGACAGAGCAGCAGCACCGGCATTGGTTGAGTATAACCATTTATATCCTAATGCCTGAAAACATAGATGTAGTTAGTGTACAGATGTTTAGGGTAATACATGTATAGAGCA